GTTCAAGTCAGCAATCTCTGGCGTTAACCTATGCCGCCATCTTCGGTTCTCCAAGACCGTATCTTTGTCCTAGAAACCCACTATCTGGAATTCACACAGGAAAAAGGCTGACAATATCAAAATTATCAGCAGTAACTACTGACACAGCTGGTATATGCCAAGTGTTTCACTTACATGATTCCTGAGCTGTACAGACTTTTACAGAGCAGCAGGTTTCACATTCCCTTTCTCCACACGCACTCAGGGCTTTGGGAATAACTCTCAGCCGGTGGGGTGGGGCTCATGGAGATGCCGCCAGTGCTGCGGGCGAGGAGCCGGGCAGCCAGGGTCAGCCACGCCTGCGGTCAGTCTCACAGTCCATGAACTCAGCCATCCACTTTCCTGAACGATTTTCAGAATATCGTAATTATATCTTTCAGATCAACTTTTTCAAGAAGGGAGCAGCGATGTTTTCCCAAAGTATGGACAACTTCTTATCCTCCGTGTCGGACATGGTTCAGAGGTAATGCTGCACTCCAGTTGGGGTCTTGGTGCTTTTGCTTTCTGCCAAATCAGCCTCTCCGGTGGGGGTGGGGGTGGGGGGTCCCCCACAGCTGCTGTCTACTCCCTGAACTCCCAGGAGCAGCGCCTTCTTAGCTGCCGACATTTGTGAATAGTGTGGTTAAAAGGAATGATCTCTGCATTTCCCAGCTTATGTGGAGCCCGCAGTCCTATCTACTACATTTACAGATTATGAATCAATAAAAGATTAAAGGATCCACAGGGGTACTTTCCTATTAAGTCAGAGTTCTTCGGATCTTCTTCTGTAACAATCAGGTTCCACGTGTCAGAAGCCTCAGTCCGGTTTGGACTTGCTGTGGAGAGAGTGCCTTGTTCCTTTCTTGGAGAGCTAACAGGTTAGCAGCCAGAAGTGCTGCAACATTTTAGGAACTTCAGATCATCACACTAATGTATGATAAACAAGGCAGTAAGCCTTTTTGAATTAATTTAACAACCTGTAGTTCAGTCTTGCAATTGCTTATTTTTTTTAAAAAAAAATGCATCCTCTCTCCAGACAGCCCTGCCACCCTTAATGATGCTGTGGCCGCTCTGACTCCCTTTGCCTCCTGTTGTCAGCGCCTGTGATGGTGAGCTCAGTGGAGGCTCCAGGCACCCCCAGCACCGGGCTTATTTCATCCAAAAGTCAGACATATGGCTCCTTGAGTGCTTTTCATTATTTCTGGAGTATAGAAATATTTCTGTCTTGTTGGTGCACATGAGTATTTCTCTGGGGAGAAAATTATTACCTTCATTGGGTCCTTAGTGTTTTATCACCCACAAAAGCGTAAGAAACTAGATGTTTTTGTAAAGCTTTGGCTCCCTCCCACCTTCCTTCTCTTGTACTGCTGCTTTTCCCGCATATTCCATTCTCCTAGCCATGGCAGTGACAAGCAGGGGTAGCTAATGAGGGTTGTTCTCCAGCTGGCGTGGCCCCAGGCCATCAGCCATGGAGTCCCGTCATTTCATTCAAATGTCAGTAGCCAGCCCTCCCCTGGAAGGCGGCGTGCACCCAGCTGCTGCGTTAAACATGGTGCAGGCGGCGGACCTGGGATCTCCTACAGTAGAGTAAGAGTGTGCAAGCCCAAACTTCCTTCACTGCAGACCCTTTGAGAGAACGTCCTGAGGAACTCACTGTGAAACACCAGGCAGCTGGCCCCCAAGGTTCCCTCTATTTTGACATCTGTGATTCTGTCTTACCTCCTTCCACACGGTGGAGAAGTGGAACACGCCTCTAAGGTTTCCTTTCTCCGATGGATGGGCCCTGTTCAGGCCTTTGTAGCCCATCCTGTCACCACCAGGTGGGATAGGCGTGTGGCTGTCTATCTTAGGAGGAAGAGCATTGCCCTGGCTTTGCTGGTGCACCTTGGTACTACTTCTGGTCAGTTTCCCCTCTCCAGTGGCCATCTCCCGTCTCTTGCCTAAACCAAAGTGAGCGGGAATGACTGCTGTCCTTGCTTTTCCGGCCCTTTCACAGGAAGCCTGCATGTGCCTCCCCTAAGAATGGGCTCATTGAAGCTTTTCTCCTAACGTTTGTATCAGCAGTTTTGAGCATGACACCTTTGCCAGCAGAGGAACTGTTTAGCTGGGTTCAGGCGTTGTCCAGTGGGACCCCTGTGTTGTTTTAAAACAGCAGTCATGTAAGCACAGAATAATGCATCCCGAGTGTCTACGCTCCGGCTTCCAGGCCTAAGAGAGGTGGAGAGCTGCGGCTCTGCCATCTGATGCCCAGCGCTGAGTGGCTGACCAGACGGACACCTTCTGTCTTAAGCATTCAGGTGGAACTGGAAGCCGAAGCAGAAAAGATGAGGGTGTCCCAGCAAGAGCTACTTTCTGTGGACGAATCTGTTTACACGCCAGACTTCGATGTAGCTGCACCACAGATCAACAGGAACCTCATCCAGAAAGCCGGTTACCTTAACCTTAGAAGGTGAGGATGCCGTTGCCCGCCCCGCGGAGTGGCTGAAGAGCTGAGGGCCCCATGAGAGAGTTGCGGGGGGACTCCCACTACAGCACCCCTCCTGCCTGGGACGTAGAAACAGTCGTATGAGTAAGAACCCAGCTTGTGGACTCCAAGACACCACAGGCCACCCCTGTTCTGGTCATCATGGCCGTTGGTGGGGACTCGGTTGCCTCATCCATAAAACAGAATTGATAACTGCACCTACATTATAAAGTTGCTACAAGGATTGAATAAGGTGGTTCTTAGCAGGCAGTAAGCACTCAAATGATAGCTATGACCCTCTTTGAAAATTATAATTATTGGGGCAGGAAACCTAGCGCCTCACACATAGTCACTGCCCAGTAAACACTGCATCGGGTTGTGCATTTACTCCCCCGCATTGGAGGGTCTGTGCAGAGGAACCGTCGGTGGTTTCTTACTGGGAAGAGCCCCTCAGGTTTGTAAGCTTCTTGATCACAGGCCAAGTGATAGAAAACCCCACGAGGCCCTGGTGCTCTTTGCCAGGAACTGGATTTTCCTCTTGTAAACAGCCCACAAAACAATAACATCCAGTTGGAACAAAACTGAATCTTGTGAAAGCCCCCGAGATTCTTATACCAGAGGTGACCCTGGTGACTGTAAGTAGCTCTCGAGCAGTGCAGCTCCATGTCTTAGAGAAGTGACCTTCCAGGGTTCAGTTCCAATGGTGACGGACTAAGTCTGTTCGTCTGGCTGAGGGGCAGGTGCACCGCTCACTTCCTGGAGTCGGCCCTGGGACTGGCATCCCGGGTGAGCTGGCCCATGATCTCCCAGATCCTCCAAGCTCAGTTGCACATCTCTGCTGCTCTTTGCACTTTAATTATTTCCAAAGCAGTTTTGCTTTAAAGGAATACATTGTAAAATGTGACTGATCCCCACAAAGGGCAGCAGAACTTTAGGTGCCACTCACGTTTCCTAATACTAATGGGCTTGCACACAATCCTTGTAGTAAAACAGGACTGGTCACCACCTCCTGGGAGCGGCTTTACTTCTTCACCCAAGGCGGGAACCTCATGTGCCAGCCCAGGGGAGCCGTGGCTGGCGGCTTGATCCAGGACCTGGACAACTGCTCCGTGATGGCGGTGGATTGTGAAGACCGGCGCTACTGCTTCCAGATCACCACCCCCAATGGGAAATCGTATGTCACGTGGGTTTTACGTGGGTGGAGAACCAGTGTAGTGACCGCACCCCTGCCCAGGGCCTCCTGGCTCATTCCTCCATGGGAGCGGCTGTCTGGGCAGTGTGGCCTTTGGGAGGGTGGTTCTGTGTTCTTTAGGCACATGACCCATATGGGACCCAACCTGCCTTACATAGGAGTGCCGGTGAGGATTGTCTGTGCTTAGATAAGAGATGACCGATGTGTCAGAGAGACAAAGATGGCTGTGTGTGGGCACAGATTCTGTTCTCACAGAAGGCTGTGGCTAGGCCTCACCGCTCCTTAGACAAGCATCTGTGTTTGAATTGGTGGGAGGCAGGGACGAGGAGGAGTCAGGCAGGAAGGAAGACCTGCCTGAGGAGTCGGTGTTTCCAGCTGAAACGTGAACAGGACGTTCAGCTGCGGGAGGGTCACTCCTCAGCATGCTGTCCCCATCCATCCCAGGCCCCGAGGTCCTTTCCTGATGGCAGCCTGCAGTCGTTCACGTAGACCCCATCACAGTGGGAGCCCTCACTTAGAGCAGGGCTCTGGCGGTGCTCCACGGGATGCAGAGCCCCAGCGGGTAGGAGGTGGGCAGTGCTCCAGGTTCCCTTGCCTGGCGGAGAGGGTGGCCTGTCCTTGTCAGAGCCGCCCTGCTGGCATTGGCTCTGCTGGGGTTGCGAGTTGAGATTTTATCTGAACTCTGGCATCGGGAGGGTGGGCAGTGTTGGTAGTGTTGGCCGGCTCCTCTCCCAGCCTGGCAGGGCATCTTCCTTCCTCCCTGAGTGAAATAAAGTGCAGAAATGAGCTGGGAATGAAGATGCCCGGATTCTAGTCATGCTCCTAGACCAGCCGTGGGCAAACTACGGCCCAGCAATAATGCATTGTAGTCATCTCTTCTTTTTTATATATGTCCTAAGATTTCCAGAAGAAGGACAATTCACCAAAAGTCAGTGGCTAGTATGCCAAATTTAATTGACTTTTTGGCAAACTGGGTTCAGTACACTGGCATATATCCCAGTCTCCTGCCACTTTGCTTTGCTAAGATTGTTACATTTGCCTGCATGTCCTTGTCTATGGAGCCTCTCTGGTCCTTGCCATCAGGGAGAAGTCTTCTCTCTTACATTTGAACTTCCACAGTGGCTAGACGATGTTATCCCTTACCCTCTGAGTCTAGCCAGTGTGGGCCCTGAAATGCAAAGTGGCACATGCTTAGGGAAGCGTTTGTTTGTCCAGATGACAGCCAGACCCAGAAACCCATTCTCTCTCCTTCCCATTTTGCTGCCTTCCTGCCCTTTCCCCTCGGGGCCCCAGTGGAGTTCAGTTTTGTGGAATAATGGTCAGTCCCTGCCATCTGGGAAGCACTTACTTGGATGCACTTTATTTCAGGGGAATAATCCTCCAGGCAGAAAGCAGAAAGGAGAATGAAGAGGTAAAGATTTTGTTTGTTTCACTTCCTTCTCAGTGTAGTGGGGGACTCCGGGATTCAGCAGGTTTTTTAATGTCCTCCACAGTGGATATGTGCAATCAACAACATCTCCAGGCAGATCTACCTGACGGACAACCCCGAGGTAATGACCAGCCGCGTGCCCTGCACCTCACCCTTTAATTAGCCTGAAAGGTAAGCGGCTGCCCCCCGGACTGAGCCTGTCTCCCTGTGGATTTTTAGGCAGTCGCCATCAAGTTGAATGAGACGGCTCTCCAAGCAGTGACTCCCATTACAAGTTTTAGAAAAAAGCAAGAAAGCTCCTGCCCCAGGTAACTAACGGACAAAGGAAAGCTAGCTTTTGTGGAGCCGAATTAGGAACTTGACAGAAGCTATTTCATCCTCACAAGCCCCCAGGTGATGTCCTGCAGAAGCAGTGACTGGTCAGGAAGGTTCCCGTGTGCACAGCACAGGTGAGGGCAGAGCCGGGATTCAGACCTGCCTGCCGTCGTCCAGCCTTACCCTGGCCCGCGCTGCTGCAGCCCGAGCACACAGGACTCGCGCGAGGGCCCTGCTGGTCGGGAGGTCCCCCCGCATGTTCTAGCAGCATCAGCAAAGTTATTACGGAACCAGAACACACAGTGGAGCAGAGCTGAAGGCTTTGAGAACAGGGGTGGCATAGTCAGAACCAGGGTAGCTCAGGAGGCACAAGACTGTCCCTGTGACTGACTGAGAACCACAGGAGTGCAGAGAGAGAGCGTCAGCCTGGCTTGAAAGGTTTAATGAATGACTAGGAATTTGAGCTGGTGTTTGAAGTACAAGAGGGTTGGGTGAGCAGCGTAATAGGGATGGAGACAGGGAGGAAGAGCATATGGTGTGCTTGCTGTAACTATGGGGGACGGGGGGTGGGGCACGTATTAAGGGAGTGGAGAAGGAGGCTCCAGAGAAATGAGAGCCAGGTTGTGGTTGAATGCTAGGCCAAGAAATATTATTCATTCCGTTAACATTTCTGACTACTACTAGGTACCAAGTAATAAATATTATTTAGCTATAACCCCTGCCCTCAAAATCTGTCTCCCAGGGAGACAGATACCAACAGGAAACCAGTTGTAATGCGATGAGCAGGACAGCAGTGCAGAGTGCTCTGCAGCAGAGCCACCTGTAGGTAGTGGCGAGATCTGAAGGATTTCAGCCAAGGAATGA